AAGCCGCCACCCAACATCTTCCCTCAGCCCACCTTCCACTCCCCCCACCATTGGGCACTGCAGCACCGCAGAAACGATCCACAGCACACAACATGCTGCTGGTCTTTCTGGATGAATGCATCTGTGTGTTTTGTTTCTGAGCAACCTGCTGCACTGACGACTAAGACACACCACTGACAAGATCCAATTCTCACTCTTCTGCATCTGTTTCCATATGTCAGCGGTCGATAAATATTTAAAGTCACACCACCGCACCATTTTTATGTAAAGCACAGATACATAAAGTGGTGCAGGGCAAGACAAGGTGTTATATTCATGCAGTGAGATAGTATCTGCTGCTTTGCCCAATTCAAATTTCTCGTATCGATTATAGATTTGCCAGACAACTGAAAAATTGAAGGTAAAAAGAAAAAATATCTGCATTTGATTCATTTCTAATTCTGCATTATGAACAAAAGCGGATGCATATTAGTATGTATGATAGAATCAGAGTTGTAAAGCAACATGGAGTGTGCTGTGCAGAATTCAGACAGATTGTCTCCTGAACAACAGTGAACAAGCACCCTGTCCACAGAAACTGGACTCAGCAATGTGAGATCTGCTGCCTCTCTCTTCTCTTTTCTATTGTTTGGTGTATCGTGCCACAGACCAGTTGGGATGGTAAATATGAGCATGCTGTTCGCAGTTTACTTCCACCATGCTTCAGGATTTCTGGAGCTTAAAATTAGACAATGTTATCGTTGCCTCTCGTTGGCATTTGGTGCAGCAGAACCTAGGCTTTAATTCATTGCCTCTACTCCAGGAAGAAAACTCCGATATTTGAATAGAAATTCAATAGCATACATATATATATATCTAGTATCTCAGCATCTTTTATTCCCTCTGTCACTGTTGCGCACACACACACACACACATAAAAGTGCTGTCTCTTCAGGGGGGTCTAGTTCCTCATTGTCAGCAATCTGTCCGTTCCCTGACACAGAGGCTGGCTCGAGTCCATTTCAGATCCTGTCACTTCCAAACACTGCTGTTACCTGCACACCACAGAACAGACCACTGCAGTGATGGCATACAGAAGAATTCTATCTCAATTCATTTGACTCTTAAAATAGACTCTGCTCTCTGTGATGTACAGGGTTCTTTCACAAACTACAGTTGCATTGGTCAAAATGGCAATACACATACATGTAGGGTACCAAATACTTCCAAATTAAATGTCAGTAAAAGCATCACTTTTGCACAGGTCTTCTTGAGAGCATCAAAGGTTTTCAGGTTTGTTTCGCTTTGTGTGTGTGCTTGTGTGTATGTGCACATGTAAGTTCTGAATCATGGAAAAGCTGAAGTGGGATGAGTCAAATTTGTCACTTTCTCCTCTAATTCAATGTTCAACCTTGGATTAGCCCAAATGCGTTAGTCCTTTTGTTATTTCCCCAGTCTCATCAACACACACACTGCATTCACTGCAATAATCACACCGCCACATTAGTACATCCATCATTCTCTCTGCATCAATCAGTCCCTTAACTCTCACACACTTCAGAAAAAGGGGGAGATTAAAATCATTTTATGAATATGCATTAATAAAAATCAGCAAGGATGAAAGTTTTGGATGTTCAAGCCTTCTTCATTATAGCGTCAAATATTTGTCATTGCTGTCTCTTTACAATGAATAAATTATCCTGCAGTGCCTTGGGAATTGCTGAATAATAGAGAACTTTTTATCTCATCTGTGGTGTTAGGCTTGCACATGGTCTGACTTAGAAAGGTGACAGAGTGAGTGACGAAGCAGTAAAGGGGGGGAGTCGTACGCAGAAGAAAGTTGGTGGACATGTGGCAGTCTCTTCTTGTGAAAAAGTCAGTGGGTGATCCTGCGCAGTAAATACTGCTGTACAGTCAGATATAATTTGTGGTAGAGTAGCTGGTGAATTAAATGTGCTTGTGTTGAAAAAGATGATATGAAATGCAATTGAGGATTAAAATTATACATTTGAGCAACATAAGAAAAATGTTTTTACAGAACATTAATTGTAATCATTTACTGTACATATAATAAAGAGTCTTGAATCTCCAATCTGTTGGACGATTTATCAATATCGGATTTTATTTCACTCCAATTGCCTCCAAAAAAACATTATCTTTTGGCTCAAGGGTTGAAATATCTCTGTGACACAAATGGACTTCAGTAAATACACTTTATTCCATCCGAAAAACTATTTTGCGCTGAGGTGGAACACTGCTCTTTACGGTCTATGAAAAACCAGTCAATAGCAACCAGTGGGAGGCAGGAGTGGAACTGGTTTAAAGGGCGGTGATGTGGGAGGTAAACTGACTAATGCAGATACAGAAGTTGGTCATGTGGGAGGTAAACTGGTTACAGATAATAACATTTAACACATAGGGTCCCACCTGCTGCTCTCGCAGGGGGCCGTGCTCCAGATGGCCAGTGATTGCTTTCACACAGGCCCAAGAAAGAAACACTAACAGGTCCCGTTTGTGCTCCTAGTGGGAGTTTGTCTGGTGCTGGTTGTGGGTTTGCATGAGTATATACTGTATGTGTGGGTGCATGAAAGTTCCTCTGCCAACACATACAGATTCAGGAAAGTTTAGTTATAGTTTCCTTTACCAGTCTTGTGATGATAAAAATGTAGTCCAGTTACCATCATTGCAGTATTTCACTAGTTTGAAATCAGAAGTCCACATATATGGGTCATTTAATGTAGGAAATACTAACATGACCATAATGATTCTCTTTTGATGCAGATGAAGCAGAACTCTCTCCTTCAGTGTTTTCAGATTAAGTTACATTAATGGCAACGCAAATGAACAACACAAAATAGCAAATATTTCAGAGGCACCTGACTTTTGGGGCGATGGAGCAGATAAATTATAAGCAGAAAAAAAAGAAAAGATGGGATCAGCCTCAAGGAATGACGATCTGGTCCTTGTGCTTTTCAAAAAGAAAAAAAAGGATGAAAAATTGTAGAATTGAGAACTTGGTGAGTGTCACTGCTTGGCTCAGGAGCTTAAATTGTACCACAGCCATCTCAGGACATATTTCAGAATGTTTAATGGACAGTTTGATGAACTGCAGCAACAGCTGGCGCAAAGATAATAGGTTTTTCTTGAGCACTTAATATGACGAAGGTCCCATTTGATAGCTCTGCACATTTGGCTCATTCCTTTTCTTCGACAGCTGTGTCACCAGTTTCTTGATCCTACAATCAAATCAGCTACATTACATTATTTAAAAAAAAAAATAACTGAGCAAAAGACAAATGTTTTAAATAAAATACAAATAAACTTTCTATCAGCCTGGACTGAGGGAGAAGTTGCTCTATTACTATTGCCTCAACATGGGATTAAGATTGTAGGCCTTTGTCCCACAAATAAAAGCAGCAATATCACTCAGTGAAATTCCATCATTGATGTTAAAGCTTGCATTGAGTGGAGACAGGTTCAAAAATAATGTGCAAATTATTTGCACAGTATAAACGTGTGGTGTGCAAATGCGATTAATCTTTATTCAAAGATGATTGAATCTGTAAAATCATTTGTTGCTTGCAATCAAGATTCTGCATGCTCTAGCTCTTTTTCCTTTCCATTAAATAACCTTAAAATCAAGAATTCATTAGGAGTATATTCCACTCTGATGTTATTGCACATTTGAATGCCCTGCTGACTTTCAGTAATTAGACAGATCATCCTGTTGTGAAGGTCGTGTTGTCTTTGCATCGCACAGTTAAACACTGAAATACTACGTTTTTTTTGTCAATACCTTTGATTTTCATAGCCATCTTAATTATGTAACATACATACACAGAGCAATGGTTCATAACTGCTGTGAAAAGACTTACTTGGAGACGTGGGACAAAGATCTAGTCTCGTAATTGCTGTAGTTGCAGATCTCTTCAGTATGAAGGAGAAACAACTTCAGCAAACAAAGTTCAGTGAATTTGCATACTATTGTTTTAATCTATGTGAACCAGCAGAGCACACTTAAACAAAAAGAGGGAAGCTTGTAAAGACCTATCATAAAGTAAAATCTGAATTTTCTGATTTGATACAGAATGTGGTCAAATAACAGATTTGAGGGCTTAGATCAACGTGATTGGTCCAGTTTTATTTTCTGAAACTTTTGTATTACACACATGCAAAATGTCAACTCTGCATCTGTCAGTTTGCTTTGACAGCATTAAATCTGTTTACTTTCCACTCCTGATGTGTTTACCAGTGTCCACACAGCCGCAGCTGTTATGTCCTCACATCTCCTGACAGATCCAGTGTTGCTCAGACTGAGGTAGTGCTGCCTCTTGAATGTGATTATGATCACATCTCTCTTAAAATGCTTCCCTACAGGTTGTAAGTGAAAGGAGACCAGAAAACCTGACTCTTTTTTTTTGTTTAAACTGTCTATGAGAACCAAACCCTATATAGCTGCTCCACGCTTCGTCTGCCCTCCTGTTCATGCGAGCAGAAAGAGCGAGTCTGGAGGAGTCGTGATGCCCATCTCAATGAACACGAGGGGGTGGGGGGGTGGACAAAAAGGGAGGTGATGCACAAAGCAGAGGAGAGATATTGCAAGTTGTAGCATCCACAGGGAAACCTAGAGGGACATTTATCAAAAAAGTGAGGGTGAACAGGAAGGAGCCGAGTCTCGAGGAATCGTGACGCTCATCTTAATGTGGCGTGCTAGAAAGATTTCAAGGAGGAAAACTACAGTTTGAATCATGCCCCTGCCACAGCAGTGCTGTAAAGCTGTTGTTGAAGTCATCTCTCAAGAAGCAGGTTTCCTTTTCTCAGCCAATAACCAGGATTAACAAATGTCCTTTTTTTTTTTTTTTTCCTTATACATTTCCGCAGAGTACAAACGTAAAGCAGTGCATCCAATTATAATGAAACCGTGGTACTTCTCAAAGTCAAGTGGTTGTGCTGCCTCAGCAGAAAAAAAAAAAAAAAAAGTATAGTGACCTTCAAGTACCATTTCAGATACGAGCCAGTTGTACGCGTGAGCTTCAAACAAGCTTTTATTAAAACTCATGGACACTAGTGGACAGTCATCTTAGATTTGGTACTGGAGCAGATTTTGCCTCCTCAGTCAGAATCACTTCTCTGCTCGAGACGACAGCCCTCTGGTCTGAGGAAACTCTGCTCCCCACAGCTCTCCCTGCAAGAGTAGAAAGGAAATTGCAACCGTCACTTTGGATTTGTGTATCTTTTCAATCATGCTTAAAGATACATTTTATAAAACATTCTGGTTTCAAGGATTTGCTTTCCACTCACTGCCACTATAATCATCTTTACTCACGTTGTCGGTGGCATGGCTGTTCACAAGACTGGGTGCTGCTGGGATAACACACTACCGATGCACAGTGGATAAACACCTAAAAAGCATGAATGTGGCATATTTAAAGCAATAAACCAGGGTTTACAGTGAAGTTACTGATTGATGTTAATGAGTTCAACTGTACCGTTTCTTTCTGTGGGGTATAGGTGTCCTGAGCCACAAATGCAAACATCTGAATAATGAAACGTTTGTAGTGTGATGGGTATTGAAGCCCAGAGGAGCTGTCCACAGGCACCATTGTGGTCAAGTAACGGTCATCATGGTAGGGACACCTGGAGCAAAGAAGATCTCATGTTACAAAACCAAGTTGCTGAAAGGTTTATTAAAATACTAATTTGTTGGAGTTTTAATATACCCATTATTCAGAAGGTCCCATCGTGGCAGACTGTTGGGATTAGGAGTGGAGGTGGCCCAGCAGTGCTCCAGGTTCAAGATGATGTTTGGGTCAGACCGCTCCAGGATGTGCACTTCGACGTACACAGGTTCCCTCAGCACTTTAGTGACAGGATAGTCAGCTGCAGTGTAGAATGAAGTATACGCCACCTTATCTGGAAACAAGCTCAGTTTTAATATAAACAGACAAAAAATTGTATCTGTGTCGCAGGTGTTCTAAAGCTCTACCACTCACCCTCCACACACCCCTTTGAGTAACACTGTCCGTTACCCAGCCTGAGCTCCACTCTTAGGAGTCCAGCAGCAGCCACTGGCACAGGTGGAGGAAGATCATTCACCTCCATGACAAGAGCCTCCACAGCTGAGTCGGAGTAGCGACACTGGAACAACAACCTGTTGGACAGTGTGAGCAATTACCCAACATCTCACACAACCTCACCGCGTATATATAATTTATATGAACTCACTCGAAGTGACTGTCCCTGGTGATTGAGCCTCTGGGGCCAACTCCCACTTCATATGAAGATGACATGTGGTTTTCATACACCACGTAACCATCTTCTTCCTGCAGTGGAAAGATAAGTGTAGCAAGGTAGGCAACTAAAACAACTGAGATGTCTTTTGGGTCATTTATCAAGTAAAAATGCCTCTTTTTTCTGCTTTTTGCATTTAATGGAACATGTTTGCGAGGAAGGTTCCACTCCAGTTTTCGTATCTTTAGGTTGTTTGCACCCTTTGGCTGGTTGGTCAGTAGGATTATGCAAAAACTCAGATTTCCACAAAACACTGGTTAAGAAAGAAGCTTAATTTCTCACTTTAATGGCATCCAATTTTCACAAATTTCTCAGAGAATAATTCATGGATTTTTGATATCTTCTGGGTCTTTGAGCTGCAATCTGAAGCAGCTAAATTCATTTAATGTGACTGTTGGGACTTGGCAGCAGTATGCACTTTACTGAGTAGTTTCATTTGTGCAGGATCTTATATGTAGAACCACCACTGAGAGTCCTAAGGAACTAATCATCTGTTGCATCCCTAAAACATTAGGCCATGGCATCAAATCAATAACCCAACTTCTTCTCCACACACACACACCGTAATTGTAGTACCACATGCAGTCATAGGGAACTGGAAGATGGCAAAGGCAGCAGTGAAGTCTACAGGGTTACAGGATGGGTCGTTATTTTCCAATAGGCTGATTGAATCCACATCTATGTGAGGCAAGGTGGCATCTCGAGCCACCACCACCACAAACTGGCCATCCCTGGTGCACTGCACGGTCACTGGGAAAGAGGAAAATAAGATCCACGTTTATCTTTTAGTGTTTGTTTTTATCTCTCACCATGCCGTGGTTGTATGAGTAACAGAAACTGCACATACCTGCTTTCCCATAGTAGCACTGCCACCCATTAAAGCAACAGTTTATGTGCTCACACTGCACGGCTTCAATGTCTGGATTCCCACACTGAATCTTCTTACTATCCTCCACCTGGCACTTGTCAGAGGGAGCAGCGTTTGGAGGAACCTTTTGCTGCTGAGGCAGCAGAGACAGAAAATGAGACTGATGCTGCTGCTGAAGTGGTGTCCAGTAACCCTGGGCAGTAACATCACAAACCAACACAACAACCACACCAAACAGACTCTTGAAAAGCTCCATGTTGGCGTTGACCAGAACTGCAGCAACACATTCAGACACAGGCTTTTGTACCCGACTGATGAGTGAGGCTTGCTGCCTCTCGTCATTAGGAGCCAATCGTGTGGCAGCCCTGTAGAGCTAATCAGCTGTGGGCTGACAGGTGGAACTCATTGTCTGCTCATCTATCTGAGAAAAGACTGTTGAGTCAAAGCTGTGTTTACAGAAGCTGATTGTCTTTACCTTGACCCAACACAAACCTGCTGCATTATGTCTTTTGCTGCCTCCCATTCACTGTACCTGTATAGAATCATTCCTTAAATTCTGCTTTTCATTTACACAGATGTATGGGCGGTACACCCAGGAGCTGGGTGTGTATGCCAAGGAGGAAGCTGCCCGCCTGCGGGATGGAGGAGGAGTGCGGGATGGCGGAGGACTGCGGAGGAACACCAGTGTTCGTAGTCGTGCTGCAGATCTGCTGGAGTATGAGAAACACCCCTGTGCTAAGTGCCATTGTAAGTGATGCTCGTGTAACAACCCCTCATCTTTAGTGTACTTGCAGGGTGCAGGTTGTGTGGTGCAGAGACGTGTCCTGAAGGTGAGACCAAAGCTGTGAACAAATCTGGTGTGAGTGTAGCCCTGTAGCAGCAGACTGCAGCGCTCCGGCAAGTGTTAAAGTTGTGTGAAAACACAGCGTCTCTGAAGTACAGCAGACACACGGGAGCAGGAGGGGATGTGAGCAGGATTAAATGTGACTGATGTGAGCAATGACCTCCAGCCAACAGGGCTGTCTCAATGTCAGGCCAAGACAGCCCCCTCTGCTGGCTGCCAGTGGCTCATTGTTTGCATGCCTGTGTGTGTGCAGAGATGTTTGCTTTGCTCTGAGTGCATTTTTGTTTGTGTGAGCAGAACTCTGATCTGAACTGTCAGATTATTTTATGTCTAGTCTTCCCAGATGACGACTGCAGATAAGGGAGTAGCACCAGAAAACAGAGTCCCACTTGAGACTGATGCACTCGACATTAATGGAGTGTAGGATTGTGTGTGTGAGTGTGTGTGTGCACATCCACCATTACTTTATTTTATTCACACTTTGACCTTCATAACCTTCATTAATGCACATTTGAGAAATAAAAACAATTCACAGTGAGCTCTGGGGATGAGTTACAACAATGGTAAAAACAGACATTATTTTTTTATATTTTTGTCAATGTCAATTTTCAAAGCTGTTAGTTCTGCATATTAAGTCCCCCTCACTTCCACTGTATTGATGTGGAAGAAACTTATAAATGGAAATGAAAACCTGATTAATTAAACCCAAATTACTGCCTGGTTATAGAAGACTAGAGAAGAGGAAGAAAATGTGTTGGATTTTGGTTTGAGCTGAATCGTGTTATCCATTTAAGTTTAACAGTTTAACAAAAGTACCAAAAAAAAAAGTCTTTCTTTCAGATTTAAGATGATAAATCTGCTTAAAAATCCAAAAAATTATTAAGTTTTTCAATCCTCTCCTCCATCAAAGTAATCCTGTTAGGTTGTCGGTAGGATACATCAGTGGGTACACAGCGCAGACAAGTACTGCTGATAAGTACTTCAGCATACTTCTAAAGGTATAAAGAAATTGAGGCTCAAGTTTTAGCCAAAGTGGCAACAAACCATACAAACACGTTGGTTTGTGAGCTGCTATTTTAAAGCCTCGACTTTGGCATTTTGTCCAGTGCCAACAAGTAACTATATTTGGAGGAGTGGGTGGTGGGGCCTGATTGAGAGCTCGAGGACACTGCACACCCACCTACACCTGCCGTCTGCACCCGTTGGATGGCACAGACGCGATCAGAGCATCCAGGCCCTAATGCACATGGTGCCTCATCTGTCTGACTCTAAATGAGACCATCACTTACAAAATAAAAATCATGCTGTATTGATGAAGACTTGAAACTAAATGTTTACTGACGTTTTCAATCAAGTGAGAAGTATCGGGTCCATTTCTCCTATAAAAATGCTTTTCTTCATCATTGGAGTCGCCAATATATATGTGTATCATGACGTAGAGACACCTCAAACAGTTGACTCTGAAAGTTTGCATTAATGTATCTAAGAACAGTCTAATCCTAATATAATTTAGTTTAGAGTTTAAAAAAACACATTTAAGTGTGTAGTTTCTTTTTAAATACAAAAATCAATACATTACATTAAGAAATGTGACGAGGAGAGAGAAAGACTCTGCCTTTACTTGTTTGTTTTCACACAAGTGAGTAAGCGTGGCGGTTTTCCATTTCTGCCTCCCTGCCCTTGTTAGTAGTGATCTGATTAAAGCTCGATTGCACCACAGGTGAAAGCTACACTATATCAGGTCAGCCTCGCTCGCTGGCGGGCTGTAATGGCAGCCATTTAAAACAATCACTCTCAGATCAGGAGCCAGCCAGAGTGATGTGTTTGCTGCTCGCTGTCTGCCTGCTGCGTGTGCTCGTAGATCAAGAGGTGTTTGTATTTTTAGGCCCGTCTTCAGATTGACGCTCTGGCCGGACAGGTTCTGCTTTTTGTTGTTTGTGTTAGGTAATGTGTGAGGACAGAACCTTTTAGGTTTGGTGGAAGTGGGAGTTTTAGTGTTTTCCTTTCGTGTATCAGTGTGTGGGAACAGCATCTCTGTGGGTGATGGACTACAAGTATGTGCCTCAGTTCACGTCAGCAATTGAAGCTGCAGCGTTCAAACACGGCAGCCTACACATGCAGCTAAAGGCTGTGCTGCCGGTCGTGACTGAGATCTGCGAACTTAAAAACCTGCCGCTGCCTCACTCGTGCTTATTTTGGCTCATGAAGAGAGTCTCTCTGGGATCTCATTACTGACGTTCTCTTGTGTACTCGCACCATCACATGTTATGTTTGTCAGGTGATGCAATGCAGGGCGAGCAGAGGTGAAGAAAATGCCTGGCATTGAAAGTGATTTCATTACGGGATCATGAGGAGACATCTGCGAAAGCCACTGAGCCTGCGGATGTGAACTCGAGCCAAAATGCACACAGAAGTATGCAAGATGCCAGACAAAAAGTGTGTGTGTGTGTGTGTGTGTGTGAAGGATACAATGGGACTTTTCCCAACCTCTCTCACATGGGAATGTCCAGTGAACTTTGAAATAATCATGAAGGCTTTTGGTCTAATTTGAACAGATTTACTTCTAAAAAAATAAATCTGTGTCCACTGTGTGAGTGGTTTGTCGGCACGTGCATGTTCTCTGGTGGCAACTTGCCATTCAGCAGGTGGCTTGGCAATTGTGCCCCACTTCTCTCTAGAGACCCAGCATTCTCCCGGACCCTGAATCTTGCAGAAAAACTGCACTGTCTGTCCTTTACACCTCTGCTCCGGCGATAGCCAGTGACAGGAGGCTTTACATTTATGTGTTGTCCGTTCCTTTTCTTGTGAACATGCTATCTCAAGAACACCTGGAGGCGATTCGACCTTGACCTCTATGTGTCTCACTTTGTATGTATTGGAGGTCTGTTGCACAAGATAATCTATATATGGATTTGGCTACTATGGTAAAACTTACAGTGCTTATGGAATAGTTGACAGGCAGCAGAGTCCGCCTGATGCGTAGTCCTGTCTCTCTCTCTTTCCTGTCCCCTTACCCAGTTGACAGTTTTCTCCATGACGAACATAAATGAGTTCCAAGCAGGACTATCAAAAAATGATATTCCTATGAAATATGAATCTAGCAAATGTGTTAGTAGCACATTTTTAGCTTCTCTGGGGACTGACACATCTATGACTGCTCTGGATATTGAAGTGAATTCCAGGCAGTTTGGCAGTGTCCGCAGACAGGAGGGAGGAAATGAGTCCAGCGATGCTTCTTTTAGCTGACCCAACTCAGAGTTATGGATTGTAATGTAAGAGTATCATTTATAACTGTGACCCAGCTATGTTTTGTCTCCATATTCTCATATTTGAGGTGGATGATGATAAAGTGATGCTTCTCTCATCATACTCACCACATAATAACCTCCTCTGGCCTCTGCCTGGTAAATACATAATATATCTCTGTGCACGCTGCTCATTGTGTTAATCAACCCCTGATTTACAAAGCAAGAGGATGATTGATTGTTTCCCCGTCTTAATTTGTCCTCATAAATAATTCGGAGGATTCATGCACAATCATGGTGCGGTGGAACAGTGGTTTGCACTGTCTTGGGTTTGAACCGTCCAACTAAGGCCTCTCTGTGTGATGTTTGTATGTTCTCCCCATTTCTTTCCTGGGTTTTCTCTGGTAACTTTGTTTTTCAGTTTGAAGCCATACAAAAAGCTATATATACGTAATAATGAAGAAGATATAATGACTATACTGTTATAATATAATTGAGAAAATATTAATAGATAAAAAGAATTCAGTTTAATATTGATTTAAAAATCATTTGAATCCGGTGTGAAATAAATCGGTCCTGCTCACTGATCTGTGACATTCTGCAATGGTGTAATTAAAATGAGAGCTATCAAAGAATGGTGATTTTATATATATATATATATATATATATATAAATATGAAATGTATTATTAATATACATCAGACAATTTACTCTATATGGTCATATTGCCCCTATCTTGTCTGTCTACATTTTTAATTAAATGTACCATATGTGTTCTCAGATTATGTTTGTGATTGATGTAGTCAATGCATAGCAGTGTGCACATAAAGCACTTTGAATTGCTTATGTGTGTAGTATACTTCTTTGGCCTAAATACTTATGCCCTTCTCCTTCCTCTCTGACACTGCTCGTTCTCTAACATTTATCTGCCGGCCCATCACATGTTCATGTTTAATTTCTGAAAGCTTTCTCTTTGTTTCCTTCTTCTCCTCTTTCTTGTCTCCGTGCCCTCAGTGTGTGCGTCTCGCTGCCAGAAGTTCCTGATCTCCCGGGTGGGGGAGGACTGGATCTTCCTCATTCTGCTGGGGCTGCTCATGGCTCTGGTCAGCTGGGTCATGGACTATGCCATTGCCTTCTGCCAAGAAGGTAAGAGAGAGACAGAGAGCCAGAATGAGAGAACGAGATCAAGCGAAGGAGGCATTAGTGAGACAGATGGTCTGGATTTCAGACTGTTCTCAAAGAGGCAATGAAGTTGTGAATGAACAAAGTATTTATCCATGAGAGGCCATGTTCTAAAATGAACATCTAAGAGGCACTGACATGCATTGTATGACTGGCATGCTGCATCAGACTTATATGGATCTTGAATAATAACAATGCAATCAATCAATTCAATTCATAACAGTTTTTATACATGTACCAATTTCAGCAGTGATAATCAATTATCTCTATGCTGAGATTTTGGGTTTTAAAAGCAAATTGTACCTACCTACATTTTTATATTTAAGTTTCAAGTTTTTTCATCATGGTTATTTGTCTATTTGAAAACAATATTGAGTAATTTCCACTTTTTTCCTAATTCCCAATTTTCTTCACCTTTCTTTCTCCTCTTCCTCTCTTTGATAAAAATGAGTGCACTGCTCGTTATAAACAGGCCTGTTTTGAATGGGCTGTTGTTTCGCCTGTGGTAATGCTGGTTTCAGCTTTCTTTCTGAAACAGTAAAAGTGACCTGCAGTATCTGAGCGGCAAGTACAGGCGACACTTGCACTGATGAATCCCAACCGGTGCTGCTACAGAGTGCTGGTCACCTGTTTATTCTAATTTCATTAACATTGAATGTTTCACGTGTCCAAATCTCAACAATACACATGCACAAGTGTGAAGCACATAAAATGAATGGTACTCAAAGTATGCAAGCCACATACAGACAGACAGACATTTCTGGAATTGACCAAATACTGAATGAGGATAGAGCAGTATGAATAAAGCAGAGAGTACAAAGAAGTGATGGAGAAAATCACGTGAATCTGGCAAATGTGGGAACTGGGAATTAAACTGTAACTGTGTGATGAAGTGACTTAAATGTGTGTATGTGCAGCACAGAAGTGGATGTATGGTGGACTGGACAGTAACATGCTTCTGCAATACATCGCCTGGGTCACCTACCCTGTAGTGCTCATCACTTTCTCCGCGGGGTTCACACAGATCCTCGCGCCTCAGGCTGTGGGTAAGACACAAACACACACACACACACACACACACACACACACACACACACAAACTTTATCTGCACAAACATATGTATTCATATCTCTAATTCCTGGTCATATATCTGTGTTTGAATAATGTAATTGGTCCTACATTGCACCATAAGGCTTCCAAGGACATGTGCTGTACGTTTCTTCGGGGTCACGTCTGCAGCAAATCCATAAAATATACCTCTGATGAGATGTGCATACAGACAGCTGCATGAATATCAATCAGCTTTTCCCCTCACACCCCCTCCTGCTCTTCATTTATTCTACTCATCCCTCTCTCTCTTTGTAATTGGTCTTTTTCATCTCTTCTTTTCTCCCTACTCCATCATCGCGCCTGGCATCTCCTTTGTTTCTTCCTCTCGCAGGTTCAGGCATTCCTGAGATGAAGACAATACTGAGGGGGGTGGTCCTGAAGGAGTATCTGACCTTTAAAACGTTTGTGGCCAAAGTCATCGGCCTGACCTGCGCCCTGGGCAGCGGGATGCCCCTGGGGAAGGAGGTAGACTGTTTTTGTCTTTAATCTCCTCCAATATCTCCACAGTCCTCTTGGCTGCACAAATTACATAAGACAGATAGCTTGACAGTTTTGGAAGTTTCCCATCAGGAGGTAATAAAAATCTTCTTGCAACGTTAAAGTCGTAGCGGCAAAAATAAAAAAGTGATTTACTGCTTGCATTTGCCATTTGGGAGCATAGTAAAGTTGTTGGAACTGACTGAGCGGGGTTTAATCTTGCATAGTTTTAGAATAGTGCCGCTGAACTTGAGGTTCACGTAGCACTAAATGTACCTTCAGTCATATCCTGTTAACACTCCGTCCTCCCTCTCAGGGACCCTTCGTTCACGTCGCCAGCCTGTGTGCCGCTCTCCTCAGCAAATTCATGGCCGCTCTTTTCGGAGGGATTTACATGATGAAAATGGTAACCACATTTAAAGGACTCCCAGACACACATGTACAAATTCCAACTTGTTTGAGTTACTGAGCTTTGAGGATATTCACTGATGCACCTGAATGTTCTCTCTCAGATAAATGATGAAATCTTTCTTTTCTTAATGTAAACCGCATTGATTTTTACTATGAATATTGTGCCTCATTTACTTGTGTATTATACTTGTGCCCCTCACATGGCAGAGGTTGTTTTCAGGACCAGTGCTCCCTCTTTCACAAACATCCTCAGTTCATGAGTACGGCCGCAGTTGGATCTGTTGGTCACTGACCAACTGCTCCACTGGACCAGCTGATGGTTAGGGACCACCTCATTAACCATCATTAATGTGAGGATCAACCTGGAGACCTTTCTAATGCTTAGCGCGTCTTTGATCATCAGGCCTTTAATGCATCATGTGCCAAATGATGGTTTCTAACGATGATGTTTTTTTTTTTTTACTTGAAGGACTGGAAATCTTAGTGTTAATGAATGGAGATGAGAACATTTCTAAGATCTATGTCAGGTCTGTGTTTTAGAAAAAATAAATCAATAAACAACTAGAATTGCTCTCATTAGAGCACATACCTCTGCCAAGGCCCAACGGTCCCATTAAATTCAAACAAGCCTTACACCTAAGGCCACATTATGTTATCTCAGTATAAGCTGGTGGTAGATACAGGTTTCTAGTCCTATTGATTACCATACAACGACAGAAAGAAAAAAAACTCCCATGAAAACACAGTAAAATCCGCTTGATCTGGACTTTTAATTGGTTGTTTCATAAAATCTCTCCAGGACACACTCTCGCCTCCACTCATGTGAAACCCCTCACCGTGGCCTCCTGTCTCTTCCTGCACTGGACTGCGAGCTGCACGTCTCTTAGTTCTCCTTCTCTCCACCATCAGTAACGGAGGCAGACACACTTCAGAGACTTGGAGGAGGAAAAAAAATGTCAGCACAGATAGAAAGACTCTTAATCGTCCAGGGGTCGACAACAGCCATTAAATATGATCAGTCTGGGAGCATGTTAATTTAGTGCACTGTGGAATTAAGACACTGTGTTTGCCTACGCTCATTCGCTGCTTGTTTGATTTTGTGCAGTTTTAATAATGAGCTGGATGGCTTCCAGGAGGAGGATGAATGGGAAAAGAAAAAAAGGTAACCTCTCCACTCGCACAGATGGCACTCACACATATTTCTCTTTTTTTGTGTTTCAATTTTACTGCTAAAGGAAGAGCCCTTTGGGGGAAGCAAGGTACGACTGCATGAATCAGATAGTTTCTTTATTGTCAATTCCATCAGCATTAATAATCCACGCTGCCCATTTCAGATCAGCTGAGAGAAACCGATGCCTTTCCATTTGTCCGCGCTGTGTTTGATCCTGTTCAGTGAACCGCCGCAGCGAGGCATCGATCTGTGTTGCCTTCACTTCAGTGCAAACATCTCATTCCATGATTCTCAATCAGTGTTTTCAATCACGGCCTCCCGTTTTACACCGTTCACGTGTTCACATGTGTGACCTCATCGAAGGTGAAAGGATCTGTGACTTTGACTCTGTTGTATATTTGTCTGTGGCGTTTGCACATGCATACCTGTCGGGATGCATTTGTGTGTATGTGTGCACTTGTACTTATACATTTCTGAGGACCATTTTGAGACTAGACCTTACAGAGTGAGGACATTTTTGGAATTTCAGGACATTTTAGCCTGTGTTAACCTTTAGTTTGCTGCGAGGGGCACGGGAAAATGGGCACCATAAGTGACCTTAAAATAAGTTCTGTTGTGTCTGTTCATATCAAGATTAAAACAAACACTCTGGGGTGTTTATAATTTATTACATTAGGCTATGGTCTAGGTTTAGACATTTAGTCGTGATGGTTAAGGTTAGAGGAAAGGGCAGGCTGAGTGTCCTCACTAAGATAGAAGTACAAGAGTGTGTGCACGAACGTGTGTGTGTGTGTGTGGCTTTTGTTATGCACAGCTCTATTCTGTCTGTATGTGTGTGTGTGTTTGTCTGTGTTTGGACAGAACGAGTTGAGGAACACAGAGATGCTCTCGGCTGCCTGTGCAGTGGGTGTGGGCTGCTGCTTTGCTGCCCCTATTGGAGGTAAGACAACATGGCCAGTGCCACTGATTGAATGGTATCTGATTATGGTAGATAATTATGGGAGCTAATTAGATGAGGAGAATATTTACCCTACCAGCACCAGATGGTGCCAGTCTTCATCAGTGCCTCAGTCTAACGCTGATTCAGAGCAACATACTGTGTAACTATTGGTAAGATTGAAGTAACATTGCACATGAATATTGAGGTCAAAGGATGATTCCCATAGATTTTAGATGATCAGAGTCCACATCAAGGTATCTTAAATCAAATCAATGGTTTTATAAAGACAATGAATCAAATGACAGTGTGAAAATAATGTGTAAGGGGTCCCTGTGGTAGTGGTGTTCGGACACTTTATATATTTTTAACCGTTATGCTCTACAGGGATGTTTTTTAAGATATGTGATCGAATTGTTCTTAAGAAATACTTGTGATTTATATGTTACAGGGGTGCTGTTCAGTATTGAGGTAACATCAACGTTTTTCGCCGTGAGGAACTACTGGAGGGGCTTCTTCGCTGCCACCTTCAGTGCCTTCATATTCAGAGTGCTGGCCGTGTGGAATCAGGAGGAAGGTAAAACATGGGGAAATACCAGCTGCGTTTATTCAACTTTTTAATGATGTATTGTTGTGTTTGTGACTTTACCTCTGTCACTGTGTGTTTTCTGTTGTTTAAAACAATGACAGTAAAGATCTCATGTTTAGATCCAATACAATTTAGGAAATATTGAATGAAGGAAAATTGTAGTTTCATCACATTTTATATCATCAATTCCTTAAATGGAACAAGAGTCAATATCATATAGTCAATATCACTTCCGTATTATGGCCCCGACAGCGCTCACTGGAACATTCAGAAGCTTAGAAATGCGCCTGTAACCAATGCCATCGTTATGTTTTGCAACAATTAGGTTGTGAAGGTCTTGAGACAGCTCTTTGCTTTTACCCATCATTAGATGTGTCTTGTGTGACACCTTGGCAATGAGACCTTTTTGTAGGCCATCAGTTGGGACTGAACCATCTGATATTAATTTGCACTGACAAGGGGCTGGATTGCTTTTTAATCACTGATAGATTTCAGCTGTTGTCTTGGCTGTCCATGCCTTTTTGAACCCCCCTTTCTTCATGTGTTCAATACTTTTTCCCTGTGTCATTTCACATTATTACACATAACTTGATTCCTGAGCTCATTTGTCTGGGTTTCTTTGTTTGTATGGATTACTTGGGTTGTTACCAACATCTGGTGAAAATGTCAGGTCAATAGCACCAACAGCAATATATTTAGTGAGAAAAATGGTGACATGTTCAATACGTACTTCACCCCCTGTATGTAGAACCACATACCAGAAAAATATAGTAAATGACAAAATATTGTAGAAATTGAAATCCTATTATTATTCAAGAAAACACAATAGGTGATAATTTTGCATGAGCAGGAATGGTTGGTGAATGAGGCCTAATCTTCCTTTTCCTCAGAGACCATCACTGCTCTCTTTAAGACCCGCTTCCGTCTGGACTTCCCGTTCGACCTTCAGGAGCTGCCAGCGTTCGCCATCCTCGGGTGAGTGTGTTTTTCCTATCTGACACAATGTTAAACTGATCCCAGAGCAGTTGGAGCCTCAGTAAACGAGGGAATCTGAGCTCTCACCCGTACCTATTGAGAGGCTGAAGGGGGATTTTTGTTCAATGATGTTTTTTCTCTACTGATTATAGGTGGAGCCTGTATACAGATCACCATGTGGCAGATTTGATGTGTGTTATGCCAAAATGCTTTAATAGATTGAACAAGTAAACATCTGTTGGCTTCCTGTCTCAGATGAGTCAAAGCTGAATCTGTGTTTCAGCCCAGGATTCTCTGCGTCTGCTTCATGCTAAACAGACCCAACAGGAGTGTCTTTGTCTGTTTGTAGGATTGCCTGTGGTTTTGGTGGTGCTCTGTTTGTCTACCTGAACCGGCTGATTGTAGAGTGCATGAGGAAACAGAAGACAATTAACAAGTTCTTGCTGAGGAAGTGAGTATCTGATCCCTCACGTTATAATCCTTTACACTTCACTACCAAAACACTTGGCTGAAACTCCTCCACATCACAGGGAGCTGTATTTCGCCTCTTCATCCTCACCAACCAGAAATCAAACATGCACATACAGAGTGACAAGCGCACCCATTAATGACCCTGCAGTCCCTCTCTTCCTGTCAGGCGTCTGGTGTATCCTGCACTTGTCACCCTGCTCATCTCCACACTCACGTTCCCTCCAGGCTTCGGGCAGTTCATGGCTGGACAGGTGAGAATATACTTTCACACTCCTGAGACTATGTCTCTATTGTTGCTGAACGATCGATGTTATCTTTAAATGAAGTGAGTCAGTGTCAGGCTGTGGGTCAGTTTTTTGTTCCTGCTTCCAAAGCTTTCATGTTTTATGATGGGTTATTATAATTAAGACGAAGTTCTCTGCAGAGTGTGTGCAGATCCTGGAGATTCACATGTTTAAAACAAGTTAAAATAAAATGTATCTTAATAGTTTTAACCATAGACTGTATAAGAAGACGTTTCGACTTTCTCCCACAATCCTGAAATTTAAGCTTAAATATTCTGGATTCGAATGCCGCCATCTTGCACATTTGGAGCGAGAGTCTGCGCAGTAGCCGCAGTAACGAGGTCCCATCGATACACATCCTAAACCAATCATGAGTCAGCCTCAGCTTTCAATCGTCACACGTTTCGCCCCATTTTTATAGCATTGAATAACTAACCAAAACTAAAAAAATGAGCAATTGAACCAACACCAGTGTGATAAGAAGTACCCAAAGTGACAGAAACCATCTTTGGAAAAATGTATTTGATGGGCACTTTGACTTTTTGGTATGGCCCATGTCCCATCCCAGGATTTATGACCTGCCACCAGGGGGCGATTGAGATTCTTGGGCATCCATACATGCTTTATATCATGTTAACAATGTGACTGGGATCATGTTAGCACAACAGTGTTAGAATTAAGCTCAGACAAATGCCAGCAGACTGCTAGCATGATTAGCTTTTTTTTTTGCCTGCAAGAGGAAATTACAAATATAAAACCCAACATTATACCAAAGTGATTAGTTAGTAAGTTAGTTTGTTGGTTGAAAATGACAAAGGTCATTCTTACTCATTAAATTCAAGCCATCATATTTTATTCCTCCACAATATTCCACCCAGTATCATAAATACCTTTTCAAGTAAAGAACATTGAGTCAATTTATAAAATGTAAACAATATAAATAACTAGAACTTATTACCAAGTATCAAACATATCAGGTGCACAAGACATTTTTGGCATCAGGGATTTCCAGGAAGATGTGGATCCCACCAGACCAACCAATGTGTGACCAACGGAGCCTCCTACATATGTCAGGTGTGAGGATGTGAGAAACAAACATTTTTCCTCATTGTTGATCGGTCAGCTGACGCAGCACGAGTCTCTGGTGGCACTGTTCGACAACCGCACGTGGTGCCGTCAGGGTGTGGCCGAAGAGTTCGACTACATCAGCCACCACCACGCCTGGAAACACCCACAGGTCAACGTCTTCATCACACTCATCCTCTTCATCATCATGAAGGTAGGCTGTCTGGAACATGTAGCAGTCTGATGATGACGATTTGATTTAGATGGTTTCTCAAACAAACTTTCTTCTCTGTCTGTCTCAGTTCTGGATGTCAGCCGTGGCCACCACCATGCCTGTTCCATGTGGGGCCTTCATGCCCGTTTTTCTTATTGGTGAATAAAGATCTATGATTTCTTCTGCGGCTGTTAGAACCCCTGAAAACTCACTCATTCATTTTTGCTGTGCAATACTCATTCCTATAAGTGAAATTCAATGGTAAATAGTCTAGTACATTATGCTCACACTGTATATATTC